GGTTTCTCTGTGTATCTTTGCGCCTTGCCTGGAACTCACTCTGTAGACCAGGCTGGCCTCGAACTCACAGAGATCTGCCTGCCTCTGCCTCCTGAGTGCTGGGATTAAAGGAGTGAGCCACCGCCGCCAGGCAGCAACGCCATACTCTTATAATTCCATTTTTCTCAAGTTTTATATTTTATTTGTGTGTCTGTGTGTTTGCTATCTATCTGTCTTTCTGTCTGGGTGTGTAGAGGTCAGAGAACAACTTGGTAGAAATGGTTTTCTCCTTGTAACTGTGGGGAATGAACTCGGGCCACTGGGCTTTTGTGGCAAGAACTATTACCTGATGAATTATCTGATCTCAAACTCTCACACTTTTGTAAAGAAAATCAAAAGCTGGGCATACATCTTTAATCACAGCAATTGAGGCAGGAGCAGGTGAATCTCTGAGAGTTTGAAGCCAGCTTGGTCTACATGGTAATACTCTGTCTCAAAAAAGAAAGAGTGTGGGGGAGAGAAAAGAGGAGGGGGGGGGGCGCGGGGGGGGGAGAGATAGAAAATCAAAGCTTTCACACTGTCACTGCTATTACTAGTTATAGATATTAATTTATTATATTACCTATTCTTACTATATTAGAGGAAGAGTAGTTTCTTTTGGGGGTATATTCTACATTCCCTCATTTTTTCCTGTAGACTCTTGTGCCATTAATTATTCTATATTACGAATGTTTTAAAAATACTTCCCTTGTATGTATGTTTTCAAGTGTTTTTCATTTAAACAAACAAACAAAATACCCAAAACTCCTTTGGACCTGAGAGATACAGATCATTGGTTAAGAGCTTGCCTAGTATTCACAAGGGGCCCTGGCTTCCTTCCCCAGCACCACAAAAACAATGAAAACAAGACTCCTCTTGAGTTCTGTAGACAGTGGTTTTAAAGATACATGATTCTTCATGATACTCCTATTTTTTTTAACCTAATTGTGATCTGCAAATGATTTTACATGGTTATCATAGTCAGTTATTTAAAAAGAATAACAGTAATAACTAGTTCCTTTTTATCTCCCACTAACTTAGACATATTGGCAGTTTCTCAGTTGCCTATATTTTGATTACTGTCCTCACTAATAACCTTGAACTTAAATACTGCTTAGAAGGTCCCGGGTCCATTCTTGTTAATAAATCAATGGATACTTGACTTCTTATATGCTGCTGATTTTCTGTAACATTTGAAATAGTAAACTGCTTGTTTCTGAAACCTTTTCTCTGTGCATAGTCAGTTTCCAGATTCACTGCTGAAATTCTGGTCACTTTTTCTGAGCCTTCCTGCTTACTGAATTTTATTCCTGTTAGTGTGTTGTATTTTTTTAATTTATTAAACAGCCACCCCATTCTCTCTCTCCCCCGCCTCTCTAATATTTACTTATATGACTTCAGCTACCAGATTACTTTGAAATCTGTCATGGAATACCCAGTGACCATCTGAACTCATATTCTACATGTGCCTCAAATTAAAGATCTTCTGAGTGTTCACTCTAGAACAGTTCCTTTACCCACGTTATTGTGCAAGCTGTAATCCTAGGGATTATTTTTGTATCCCCTCTGTTCCTTCATCTTAGATCCTTTTTCAATTAAAAAAATTTATTATTACTGTGTGTTTATGGCACGATGTAAATGTGAGCATACATTCCATGGAGTGTGTGTGGCAGTCAGAGACAGTTTTGTGGAGTCAATGTCACCATTAGCTTCACTTGTCACCTTGACCCACCTTAGAAGAGGGAATTTCAGTTGAGGAATTGTCTCCATCAGAAAGTCCTGTGGCATGTCTGAGGGAAATTTTCTTATTGCTAATTGATGTAGGAGGGTTCAGCCCACTGTGGGTAATGCTATCCATGGGCAGATGGGCCTGGGCTGTATAAGGTAGGTAGATGAGCATGCCAGGGGAGGCTTTGACTTTTCTGTTTCATTTCAATTTATCTTTACAATACAATCAGACAGAACCTGTTATTTACAGATGCCAGTTTAATTTTTAGTGCCCCCAAATTGATCAGTTAGGAGAATTCATTTTAATAAATTTTCAATGCAAAGCTTTAAATGCAGAAAGTATTGATAGCATAAAGATCAGTCACCTTTCCATTTTCTATTCCCTCAGCCTTTCCTTTTCTCCAGACATATCTACTATCAATAGTTTAAAGTTCATCAGTCTAGACCACTTAATGTCTACACACATGCATATGTGCTTATATACAAATCAATTCTGACTAGATTGTATGTCCCATTATTTTTATATAATGACATTGTAGTACTATATTGATTGTTCTGCAGCTGACTTCTTAAACTTCATATTAAACTGTGATAATAAATTGATTTTTATGAGTAGTAAAGAAATGCAGATATTTAGGTATATTTATACCCTCTTGGAGGTATTTCTAGCTCCTTGTGTCTCTGACTTCTATTACATTTACCCACTGGAAGCCAGTGACACTGCTCCAAACCCACCCCCTGCTCCAGACTATAACAAACAGAAATGCTGTAGGCAATGTCAAAAGTTCCTAGAAGGTAATTTTGTCCATAGACTGGTTTTAAAATGAAAAAAAAAAAATCTTTAAAAATGAATACGGGGAAGAAAAAATGAAATATAAAGAAGTAATTCTGTGTTTCTTGTAATGTATGATGAAAACCGTGTAGAACTTTTAAAACAAAATGTTGGGATATACAAATGTAATCCATAGATAAATTCTTGTAGAACATTTCAGCACTAGAAATATACAGAAAGGCTGAGGGTTTTAGTAGAGTGCTTGATTGATTAGTCCATGTAAAAGCCCGTGGTTTGATCCTCAGCTCTGCACAAGCTGGGCAAGGTGTTACAGGCGGCTCCAACACTGGCAAGCTGGAGGTAGGAGGACCGATCTATAGGCTCTTCCTCTGCCACATACATAGCACATTTGAGGCCAGCTTGGATCCATGGAACTAACCCTCCCTTAGACCCCCACAAAAATAAGGAATCAGAAAAAGTGGGGAAGTCCCCTATTAAGGCCTTCTTGAAATCCTGATTCTAAAATTCTAATTCTCTATCCAATTTTAATCATGTTAATGTATGTGTTCTGTAGTCATCTTATAAAGCATTTATGTACATCTGGATGTAGGTGCATTTAAAAACTTGTGGTAAAAGCTTGGTGAGATGGCTCAGAAGTTAAGGACATTTTGCTATCAAGCCTGTGATCTCCCTGAGTTGGATCTTGGGTACCTACACAGTGGAAGGAGAGAACTAACTCCTGAATCTTGTCCTCTGACTTCCACACATGTTCTGTGGCATGCTAGTCTAACCCCTCTCCCATAATAAATAAATGTTTAAATATTTTTAAATTGTGGTAAATACAAAATTTACTACTTAAATCATTTTATTTACAATATAAATATATTTTTGAAATTTTGAAACAGAGTCTCCATATATAGCCCAGATTGGTCTTGAACATGAAATCTTGCCTTAGTCTCCAAGTATTAGGATTATACTTGGTCACCACTCAGATCATTTTAAACATTTTCAAATATACCCTCCAGGGGCATAAGTACCTTCGTGTTGTTATATAGCCTGTCACCGTCTGTCTCTAGAACTTTTTCTAACATTACAAATCTGAAACTAAATCTGGAACTCTATACCAATTAAATAAAAGCCTCTCACTCCCACCTCCTTCACCATCCTACTTCTAGTCTCTGAGTCTGATGGCTTTAAGTACCTCATGGTGTGGCTTCCTACAGTATTTGTCCTCTTGTGACTGTCCTGCTTTGCTTAGCATAATGCTATAGCATAGTACAGTATTTTCACTTTAAAGTCTTTAATAATATGTGTGTGTGTGTGTGTGTGTGTGTGCTGCATCTGTTTATTCATTCATCCATTGATGGACACTTGGTTTGTTTCCTGCTTAGTGCTGTCATGAACAAGAGTATATAACAGTGAAGTGTCTGTGTGCTGCTGAAGACAATAACTAGAGAGACAGTGATGGGAGAAGGCTTTATTGGTAACAAGCTAGCAAGTGTGAAGTGGAAGGCTTTCACACCCAAGTTCCATCTTGTCAGAGGTCACAGGTTGGAAAGCTTACATGGTGCTTCTGGGAGTCTGACTTTAGCTCCAGTCAGGTGAGCACTGGACTGATGATTAATGCTTTTATGTGTTTGTGCTGGGAAACCCAGGGCCTCATGCATGCTAGGCAAGTATTCTACCGTGGGGCTCTACCCCTAGCTTGACAATTAATTCTTGTTGTAATTGTGTTGACGTGATTTTGATGCTTTCCATAGGTCACCAGGAATGCCAGGCATTCCTCGTTCCTGTAAACCTAATGCTAATGAATAGGAAGTCATCCTGCTAGCGGCTTTCTTGGATGTTTTCCCTTATTTTTCTTTTTAGGCAGGGCTGACTTCAGTGTTAATTATTTGGAAAATGGGTCATAAAAGAGCAAGGCAAAACAGAAACTGAAAAATCTATCTGCTCTACTGTTAGGATATGAGTTAAACCATTCAATTTCAGTTAACAGACTTCAGTGTATGAGTGACCTAATCGATCTGTCAGTTTTGTACTTCTGGTATCTGGGATAATAACTTAAAGGGTGAAAGATTTATTTAGGTTCATGATTTTGAAAGGGGTCACTCTATGGTTGCTTGGTTCCAAGTTCTTGAACAGAAAGAACATCACTGTGGCAGAAATATGTGGAAGAAAGGGGTGTTCAAGTCATGGTAGATGGAAAGAGAGGAAGGGACTAGAGACTCATTATAACCTTGAAAGTCACACTCCCAATGGGCTACTTCCTCCAAGTAGGCCCTACCTCATAAGCTTCCCAAAGTCTACCCAAATAGCACCAACAGCTGGGACTAGTATATGAACATATGGCGGGGGGGACACACATAGTTCATATTGTAAGCATATCCAATTTGAAGATTTCTCCCATTTCCTATGTTACCTTTTTACTCTGAGAGTGTCCATTCCTATACAAGTATTAATGTAGTCCAATTCATTTTTTCTAATGTTACCTATATTTTTAGTATCATATTCAAGAAATTGCCAAATCTGGTGTTAAATAGCTTTCCCCTCTTTCTAGGCATTCTATAGTTTGCTTTTTTATGTATACGTCTCTTGATCTGATTCATGTTGAGTTAATTTTTGTAGATGGTTTATACTAAGGGCCGACCTTTATTTTTTTTTGCATGTGAATGTCCATTTCCCCAATACTATTTCTTGAAGAGACTATCTTTTCCCCAGTGAATGATCTTGGTTTCCTTTTTTAGAGCATTTGACCATATGAACCAGGGCTTATTTATAGTCATTTAGTTAATATACATATTATATTTGTTTTAGATATTTCCATTTAAAGGTCCTGATTTAATTGATAAGGTTTGGGTTGGGGATGTAACTCAGCAGCAGCAGTAGAGTGTTTGCTTCACATGCACAAACCCCCAGGTTTTAACCCCAGCACCACAAAAAGAAAATGTATGTGGTTGATCCCTTAACATTGATCTCAGCCAGCATCATCAGACTCAAACCTAAATAAAATTAATCTAACATGTATTTTCTTTGTAAGGCATATCACAACAACAACACCCCACCCCCATTTGCACACACATATGTCTTGTGCTAGGAATTCAATCCACACCATAACTTTTCTGTGCTTGAGAAGGATAATATATCAGCAGTGTGCTGTGGGGAGGAGGTCATCTTAAACAGAGATATCACCAACAAAAAGCACAAAAACACATCAAGTTTGTCACCAAGTAGATTGTAGAAAGGATGCTTGTTTGTGGTATGAGGGTGGAAACAAAGAGAATCAGCTGGCAGCATGCATTTTTGTTGTTACTCAAATCTTTCATATCTTTGCATGTCTGCCAAGGACTACATAAGCACTGTGAGTGTTGGGGTTACATATCAATGGGAACAAGTAGGCAAGTTTGTAAATATGATGGTGAGTACAAATACTAAAGATTAGTTAATGTACAATTCAGTAATTTTTGAGTGTTCACAGAGTGGGCAAACCTTACCACAGTCAATATAAGAACATTTTCATCACCTCCAAAAAATCCTGTTGCCAGGAGCAGTCTAGGTCATTAGTCCTGCTTCTAGTACTAAAGAAAAATAACTTTTTAAAAGTAGAAATTATTACTTGACATAAAATGTCCAGGTACGCATACCAACCAACATGGTTTTTCTAGAAGATATAGTAGGTAATGAGCCCAGTTTCTGCCATGCCATACCAGTTAAGGAAGAGTCAGTGGACAGACACACCAAGAGGAGTCACAGAACTTGAGCAGTTTTGTCACTTGTTGTAAATTGGACTTTGTAGCAGGTGTTTGAGGAGTATCGATCAGGACTGAGCACTGAATACCACGCTCTACTGGCATTTCAGTCTGGAGTGGATCAAGAAGAAGACAAGAAAGAGGTATGCAGTGGTGCTGCTTCTGAATTCTGTGTGAAGTTGGAAGCAGTTCACTAGTTTAACTCATTAAAACAACAGAAATTCTGAGGCTGGAGAGATGACTCAGCCGGTATGTGCTGCCCTTTGAGAGAACTAAGTTCAGTTCCCAGTCACTAAATGAGTACTCACAGCCATCTATATTTCCAGTCCCAGGGGATCTGATACCTTCTGGCCTCTGCAGGCACTGTATGCAAATGGTACACAGGCCTACATTACAGGCCAAATACTTTGCTAACATGCACAAGAGACATGAAAGATTTGAGTAACCCAAAATGCATTCTGCCAGCTGGACTGTTTCAGCTCTCATATCACAAACAAGCAGCTTTTTGCAATCTACTTGGTGCCGTATTTGATGCATTTTTTGTGCTTTCTAAAAAGTTGGTGATTTCTCTGGTTAAGTTACCCCCCCACCTATCCTGCTAATATACTCTCTCTCCTAAGCATAGAAAGGTTGTGTGGATTCAACTCCTAGCACAAGTTGTAGAAGGAGGGGAAGGCTATTATGTGCCTTATAGAGAAAATACATGTGTTAAATAAAATAAAAATAAATAAATATTAAAAGAAAAATTAGGGAGCTGGAAAGATGGCTCAGCAGTTCAGAGCACTGACTGCTCTTCCAGAGGCCCTGGGTTCAATTCCCATCACCCACATGGTGACTCACAACCATCTGTAACTCCAGTCCTAGAGGATCCGACTCCTCTCTGGACACTGCACATACATGGTGCACAGTTATACAGGCAGGCAAAACATCCATACACATAAAAATAAATATTTTAAAAAAAGAAAGAACAGAAAAAAAAAACCCACAAATTCCAAAGATGTTAAGACATTATAATATGCTTAACTTCTCTTTTAAACTCCTAGGACTTAAGGTGCACTTGTGTGAAGTCAAAGATTTGATCCAAGTAAATTTCTCTAGCTGTATATATTTGCCACTATAACTTACTTAAAGGAATACTTTAAATGTATGGCTGCCCTTCCCCTTCAGTTAGAAAGTACTATCCTGGCCATGTGCCGGTGTCAGATGAGAAAAGAAACATTTTTGATGCATCTTCAATAATGAGAGTTATTCTTCAGATTAAGGTTCTTTTATCAGACAAGTTATATACTGACCTAGTGTATGTATAGATACGTTGTCCCTTTGAGTAGCTTGTGTCCTTGAAAGAGAGTATGTAAAACCAGAAGTAAACAGATCGTGCACAGTATAGTAGCACTTGCTTTTATTATGCTCATTCTGTTTATGAGCATGATACCCTGATATACTTCATCCCTTCTGCACTTCTCATCATCATATGTGGCTAGGCTTTGTGATGTGATTTTAGTCTTTACAAGTTAAATGGGGTATTGTTCTATTATAAAATGCCTCCCTTTTTTTCTCTGCGGCCCTGCTTTTATGATACTGCTTGAGAACACAGAGTAAATATAGTATTACCTTATTGTGTCAAATATAACAATTTCCTAGGTACTATTGACAAGTCGACTACACTAAGGGCAAACTAATACACTGTTTTTTCTTCAGATGATGTTAACTGTTTCAGCTTTTACTAAGGGTAAACTAAATTTGCACTTTCACTGGTTTGTCTATTAACAAAGTAGCTATGTACTTGGAAACTTAATTTTCTTACTGTGTATACTGTTGTTGATGCAGAGGAAGTTAATGACTTTACCACATGTAACCTCATTATCTGATAGTTTTCTTCTCTTTAGAATAAGAATTTGTCCTTCTTTACAAAGTTGTCTGTGAGCAGGCTAGATAATTTTAACTTCTTTCCTTTAGCGTCAAAAGCAATACCTGAGACACAGGAGGCTTTTCATGGATATTGAGAGAGAACAAGTGAAAGAACAAAACAGACAAAGGGAACAAAAGAAAAGAGTTGAAAAGTAAGTTCTTTGATTCTCATTCTTAAATGACAGTTAAGCTAATGCAATGCTTGCTAGGACTAAGGGCTAGAAATCATCAGGTTTGGGCTTGGGGTATAGCTCAGTGGTAAACACATCCTTAGCATTCCTAGTACTCTAGGTTCAATCTCCAGCTACCACGCCACTTACTACCCCCCCCCCAAAAAAAAGAGAGAGAGGAGGAGAAATAATCAGGCAATAATTTTGTGGTTTTGCCTTCTGAGCTTGGAAATAGTCACTTTTGATCTAGATAAAGAATTAAAGATGTAAGTTATACATGTATTTCATATATGTGTATATAATGTTTTTCTTTCTCTCTTTTTTTTAAAGACAGAATCTCACTTTGTAGGAACTCACTCACTATAGAGACCAAGTTAACGTCAAACTTGTAGGCATTTCCCTGCATCTGTCTCACAAGTGCTAGGCTTGTAGGTGCACTACCGTGCCTTCCTGGTTTGATTTTTTTTTTTTTTTTAGACTTAATTTTTTTAGACTAGTTTTTAGTTCATAGCAAAATTAAGCAATAGAGGTCACATATACCTCCTGCCTCCAGACATGCACAGCTTTCCCACTAGTTCATTTTGTTACAGTTGATGAGCCTACATCAGCACGCTATTACCCAGAGTTCATGACATGCTTTAAGATTCATTCTTGGTGTTGTATATTCAAGTATATAGTAATAAAATGTGTTCACACGCATATCATACAGATTATTATTTCCATTGCCTTGGAAACCTGTGCTGTGCCATTTCCTCCCTCTCAAGCCCCTCACCCCTGGCAACAGCTCACCTCTCCTCTGGCTCTGTGTTTTCTCCTTCTCCAATGCGTGTGTAAACTTTTCAGGTTAGTTTCTTATAGCTATTGATATTCACTTACGGTTCTTTCATTGCCTTTTCATGGGTTAATAGCTGTTTCTTTTTAAAATGGTGTGTGTGTGTGGTGTGTGTGTGTGTGTGTGTGTGTAGGGCACTCATGCATGTGGCGGTCAGAAAGGCAACTTGTGAGAGTCAGTTTTCTTGCATCCTAAGGCTCAAACTCAGATTGTCAAGCTTGGTGGCAAACACCTTTACTGGCTGAACCAACTTGTTGGTCATTTAAATAGCTGTTTTAAAAACATATATAATAAAAAAAATCAAATAATAATCTTCCCTCTTGATGTATCTCTGTTTTAAGTTATCCTTTGACCTGCTGAAGGACATCTTTGTTGCTCATAAAATTTGGCAGTTTTGAATAAAGGTACTCTAACTACTGTGTGAATTTTTCTGAGGACTTAAATTACTGGTTCATTTGGGTAAATATGAAGGAGTGTGATTTTGGGATCATATGCAAAGTCAGCACTTGGTGTTGTCAGTGTTTGTGGTCTGGTCATTCTAATCAGTTTGTGTTGGAACAGTGGTATCTCGCTGTTCTGACTTTCAGTTTCCTGATGCTCTATGCAGGTAGTATTTTCTCATATGCTCACTTGCCGTTTGGATATCTTCTTTGGTGCTATATTTATTCAGATCTGTTGCCTATTTTGTAATTCAGTCATTTGTTTCTATTTTTGACTTCTATAGTTTTATTAACTTCTTTCATACAATATATTTTCATCATATTTTTTCCTCTCTTCAACTCCCCACAGATTCTTCCCACCTCCCTATCCACCCAACTTTATGTTCTTTTCTCTCTCAAAACAAACTTAAAAAATCAAAACAAACTAAAAAATAAAACTAATAAAACACATATACACAAAACAAAACAAAGTGTACAAAAATCCATGGAGTCTGTTTTGTGTTGGTCAACTACTCCCAAGCATGGGCCCTGCTCTTGAGTGTGGTTGGTACACCCAGTGAGACTCCATTTGAAAAAAACTTGTTTTTCCTTTCCTGTCAGGTATCAGTTGCAAATAGCTTCTTGGATGGGGGTGGGACTTTGTGTCCGTGTCCCCTTCTTGGTTATGGGATTTTCTGGTTTGAACCTGTGCAGATCCTTTCATAGTCTCTGTGAGTTCCTATGTGTATCAGCCTTGAGGCTGGAAAATGCTGTTTCCTTAGAGTCATCCCCCACCTCTGGCTGTCTCTTAGAATCTTTCTGCCTCTTCTTCACATAGACTTCTGAGCCTTGAGGGGAAGGGTTTGGTAAAGACATCCTGTTTAGGGCTGACTGTTCCAAAGTCTCTCACTCTCTGCACATTGTCCAGATGTGGATCTCCATGTTAATTCTCAACTATTACAGGAAGAGTCCTCTCTGATGAAGGCTGAGTGATGTCTGTCTATAGGTGTAACAATATGTCATTAGGAATCATTTTATCACTTTGTTCCTTTAGCAGGATAGTAGTACTAGGTTTTCCTCCAGGCTCATGACCTGTCTAGCCTTAGGTTCTTGGCCACATTAGCAGAGTCGGGTATGGGTTCTTTCTTGTGGAGCTGGCCTTGAAACTAATCAAAAGGTGGTCAGTTACTCCCATCACAGCTGTGCCACTGTGGCATCAGTGTAGCTTGTGAGCAGGCCTCTGTTGTGGGCAAGAAAGTTTGTAGCTGGGTGATGTTGTGTAGTTTCCTCTTCCAGTAGCATGCCTAGAGCCTTCCAGCACCATGTGCAAGTCAGGAGAGGTAAAGAACCAGCTCTGGGTAGACAGGCCTGGCAGCAGCGGTCAACAAGAACATTCAGGCCCAGCGGTGGCCCACAGAGGTAGACAGGCCCAGCAGCAGAGACAAGCAGACACAGGTAGGCCTGCGGCGGCGGCCCGCTGAGGTAGACGGGCCCAGCGGCGGCAGCCGACATGGACATTCAGGCCCGGCCGCAGCCAGCAGAGACATACAGGCCCAGCGGCAGCTAGCAGAGACACACAGGCCCGGCGGTGGCCCGCAGAGGCAGACAGACCCAGCAGCAGCTGACAGGGACATACAGGCCCGGCGGCGGACCGCAGAGGTAGACAGGCCCAGGGACGGAGACAAGCAGACTCAGCTTGGAACAGGGACACCCCTAACCCCAACACCTGGGGAAGAAGCTATCTCCATGGGTCGGAACCAGAA